CCTCCCCTCCCCTCCCTTCCTCTTCCCTTCTCTCCCCTCTCTTCCTTCCTCTCTTCCTCTTACTCTATGTGTATTATGCATAATTGTACTGTTGACTTTTGTGCTCTGCTCTTCTTATGACAGCTTCACTTTTCAGCTGCAGTTGGCTTCCTCATTTTACCACTGGTTAGAACAGGAACATAAAGAAAATCAAATTTATCTCTATTTCAACTTTTCAGATATTTCAAGAACAGGCTAGAACCCCTTCATTCCTACTGGCTCTCTTCACTAACTTACTCATGCTCTTCAGCACAATCCCGATTTGTCTTTGCTTCACTTAGAAGCACCACGATCTCGGCTCAGCACTCCAGGCATAGTGTGAATGCAGGGGGTGGGGGGAACACTGGGGGATCTTCTGTGGTGTAGGGAAGGAGAGGCACAGATGAGAAGTTTGCCTTCCGCCATCAATACCATTGCGTCATTTTTAATTAAGTAATTACTAAACAAATGCCATTAACATGCAGGACACCAGTCACTGGCCTGGCAGAGGTCAGAGTCTCATTAAGGTGACTATAAAGACTTCAATCATGGGTGGGGGTAGTTTGGGAGCCCCAATGAGGGACAATAGAAACTGAATACCTGACCAAGGAAGGTTCCCTGAAGGAGAGGTGGTGAGTAAGACATCTAAGGTTAATGTTGCATTAGCAAGAAGTAGGGACAGGAACCCAAAAGAACAGCAAACATCAACGTACAGAGATGTCAAACAACTTGACACGGTGAAGAAAGTAGGTGATGTGTAGAGATGTGTGAGCAAGACAGAGGGGAGTGAGAAGCTTAAGTACAGAGAGAAATGTAGTTTTGGTGATAAGGAGACGTGGGAAAAGAGGGGTCCCCAGAGGAGAGTGACAGGTCTTACCACTGAGATTGCTGTGTCCCACGCATGCAGGATATAATGTCTGGCTTACAATTGTACAATTGCAAGATGTCAGTGAAAAGAGTCCTTTCCCCCAGAATTGGGAAGGATATTCCATACACACTTCTCTGTGCCTATGTGGATTTCTAAAAAGGTCACCTGCTAGCTTAGGTTCTATATATATAGGTTTACTTTCTGACCCTATTTCTTGTGATTTTTGGTGAGACACTGATGCTGAGGACAATTTTCATACCTCAAAGGGTTAGCGCTAGGACTAGACAGTTGACCCTTGAACAGCATGAGGATTAGGGAGTTGACTGTTATGCAGTGGAAAATCTATTTTTAACTTTTGACTCCCCACAGACTTCACTACTAATAGCTAGCTGTTGCCTAAAGTCTTACCAATAATATGAATCGCTAGACACATATGTGGTGTGAGATATGTATTATGTACTGCATTCTTATAATAATTTATGCTAGAGAAAAGGAAATGTCATTAAGTAAATCATAAGGAAGAGAAAATAAATTTATAGTACTCGGCTATATTTATGAGTACTGTAGAATTACATCATCCGTGTATAAGAAAATTCACATATATATGGACCTGTGTGGTTTAAACCCATGTTGTTCAAGGATCAACTGTATTGGTTTGTGAAGAGAGGAAGACATTTGTTAAGAACTTGGAAACTCTCAGGCACTGACTCTCTAAGCAGTTCTTAGTTTCAGAAGCAGTCTGGCCCTCAGCTAGGGTAGCATCCAGACTTCAGCAAGGGAGCCCCAAACAGGAAGGTCTCCTAGCTAGGAGAGACAACAGGACAAGGATTGCTGCTAGGATCGGCCTCCAGGGCACAAGAGCGTGGCTGTGAGGAAGCGATTAGGAGCATCTTGTCCAGAATTAATTTTCACCAAGGCTTAGATCTGGCTCTGGGTATTGGAAAAGGTGGGAAGAATAGTATGTGTATTTTAGAATGGACTTTGAGGAAAGTCAGGTTCTGAACAAAACTTTTAATTTGCTTTGGGTGGGTGAAGGGTCAGGAGATAGCTGAGTGCCGATTTGTGAGATCGGGTGAGAACTGAGTCCCATTCTCACAGCTCAAAGTGCCCTCTATAGCTCTATATTGTGTGCTGATGACATCCAATGCTGTGTCTCTGCCTCAGATCAGACTCACATCTCAAGTGCCTGCTCTGTTGCGGAGCTAGTATTTTGGGTTATAGGAATTGGTTCCAATACCCAGAGCCAGATCTAAGCCTAGGTGAAAATTAATCCTGGACAAGATGCTCCGAATAACTTCCTCACAGCAAAGCTCTTGTGCCCAGGTACTACTACAATCTCAGACTGTCTCAAAATGATATTGTAATCTTCCTGATTCACTAAGCTTTTTCTATATCAGTTCATTAAAAAAAAAAAAAAAAAACTCTTGGGAATCATTCTTTAGAGTCCCTTGGGCCCCATCCTCAAAGAAAATCTAATAGCAAGCAAGACTTATCCATTCTACCTACTAACATCTCCTCAATGGGTTTATCTATCTTTTTCTCCACAGCCACTGCTGTGTCCAATTTATCAGGATCTCTTGAGTGAACCAGCCAATAAATAGCCCTATTTTTTTTTTCTTCTCTTTTACTCTTGTTCCTTTTTAGCTGATTCTTCACAAAGCAGGAACCTGTGTGATTGGCTCCCTGTGGGCATAAATAATCCCTGCCCTATGAAGTTTTCTCCCTGCAGCTTAAAGGACTGACTTATTTTCTCCTGTCTAAGGGACTTCTGGGTCAGCATGGAAAAACACTTCTTGGTGATCTTCTCCTTTCTCTGCTTAATTGTGGGTGAGTCACCGGCCTGAGGAGTGGGTCTCAAAGAGGGGGTGGGTCATGAAGCCCCTGGAGGTTCTGCAGGACCAAAGCTGTCGCACAGGGCTGAGCCTTTGCTAAATTTACAGTGGAGGGAAAGTCAGCCTCTCCAATCTCCTTCTGCCTTCCCTGCCAACTTCTCTGCTCTTTTCAGTGTCCTGCAAGCTCCTTCCATGGGCTCACGTCTCTAGGGCTGTCACTACATCCTGCTCCCCACTCTGCTGCAAACAATTCCTGTAAACCAAAATGCTAGCAAGATTTCCCTTAAACAGGCTTTCCAAATCTGTGCCGTACTTTCTGAGAGATCTAGTCAGTGTGAAATGAAAAATCCTGCAGTTTTCAGGCCACACAATAGCAACAAGTGGTTGTAGCAAAACTGGATGTTCTGCAATCAGGTAGAACTTTCAAAATGGTTCTGTCCCTGTCTCAAGCCGCCTGGAACTTTGGCTGCTCATCTTAGAGGTGGGAAATGGTTGCAAGGCCAGTGTATGGAGTAAATCACATACAAAGTGGAGACTACATACAGCTCCCTGAGATGCTGAATAAATGTTCCTTTCTTTGCTTACTTATGTCTGCTGGAGAGTTTTCAAAAAGTAAACCTATATGTTGATGAACTCAGCAGAGTACCCCCTGAAGTGTCTGACTACACTATGACTCATGAGGTCTTCACTGAGAGTCTGATTGAAGTTCAAAATAACAGAGCATATCAGTTAACAATAGCTAAGCAGCAAATGTCAGAAACCCCATCATGGAAACAAAGCCCAGGGTGAAATACTGGAAAGTACTTGCTTTCATTGTCATGCCTCTATTTACCCTCAGTGCTGCTACACCGGCCAGGCCAGCAGAACCAGAACCATTATATGGTGGAAAAACTAACACTAGAAGGCGAACTCTTTGCTCAACATCATTCAGGTTAAAAGGACTGAAGTTGGAATTCCTTTCTTTGCTCATCGGCATTTCTCTGGGATGTAGCGATGGTGGCGGTTCAACTGTTATTATCAAACACCAGCTCTCCAGTCACCCTGCAGTCTGGACACTCCCACCCCTTCTCCCTGACCTCACCCTGGCTCTCTGCTCTCCAGCAGGGGCTTCCTTGAAGTGTACAACATGTCACCTTCAGACGCAGGCAGACCGCTGTCGAAGAGGTTTCGGAATCTGCGTTGCTCAGAAAGATGAGCAATGCATGATATTAAAGATCTTCCAGGGTAAGTTAGAGGCCTGGGGAGGTGTGCGAGATTCTTAAAAACTCTTAGGAAAGTGCTTTGGCAATTTTATATCAGACTAAGGCCCACCAAGGGAAGGTAGCAAGGTGCAAAATGCCTCTGAGCATATCCCCCTGCAGACAGAGAGCATTTGGGAAAGCGAGACAAGGGAAAGAGGTGAGGATCCTTGACAGTAACCTCCTTATCTGTGGTTTCACTTTCTGCTGTGTTTCTTACCTGCCATCCAAAATAATTCTGTGCAATGAGATATTTCGAGAGCAAATAAACAGTCACATAATGTTTATTATAGTATGTTGCTATTTAGCTATTATTTTCTATTAATAATATTGTGACTAATTAATAAAGAAAGCTTTATCGTAGATATGTTTCTCCCAGAGGAAACGTAGCATATACAGGACTTGGTTCTGTGTGAGGTTTCAGCATCCACCTATTGGAATATATCACCCCCAGGGTTAAGGGGGCTAGATATATGGATTTCCAATAAAACCAACCAAACAGATTTTAACTCTGAAAACACTGAAGTACTGTTTTATAAAGCACTCACAATAATTATTTCTCTGTTTGCTGAATTTGTCCCAAATTATAAATCATAGCCATCAGAATAGTTGGTAATCTCGCCAGAAAAAATAATGAAGCTGCTAGACAAAGAACGAAGAGTCCTCCAGAACACACCCTTGCAGGAACCAGTGATCTCTGCATTTAGATCTCTCCCTCAGTCCTCATGGGAAATAGAAGCTGGGAGACCATCCATATACCCACGCTGATGCCTACTTAATTTCTCAGTGACAGGACTAGTGTCGGATTTGATTGCCTCTAGAGAACTTACATCATTAGCTTATTTTCCGCTGTTCCCTTCTCATTACAGGTGACACTCTACAGCTGTCATATATGGTCTGTCAAAAATTCTGCCAAAACTTGACCATGGTGTATGACAAGCGGACTTATGTTCATGAATGCTGCAAAGAAAATTTTTGTAACTTTAGATTGTAAGATATTTGCCCTCCTGAGATCTCATTTTGATTATTACTCTCAACATGCTCTGTCCTTGCTGTTCTGCCTTGTTTGACTGGAAGTGCCTCTGCTTTCTTGAATGTAGTCTCCTCCTCACCAGTGCCACCACTTTGATTCCTGCCTCAGTCAGAGGATGATGATTCTGAGCAACAGATTTCATTACCAAGAATGACTGTTCCATATTCCAAGATGCCTGCCTTAAAAGGCTGAGTACAGTACAGTTTCAAACAAGAAGGTCCTAGAACCTGAGATTAGCAAATTGAAGTGGACTAGAAATCCTTCTGTTGAAAATTCACAGACTTTTATCTATAATTCCCATTTGTTATTATTATTAAGCAGTAAAATGAATGGTGAGATTTTCTCTGTGGACACAGTTATTTTCCCCAGTGGGCTGTGTCCAGTTGAGATGCAGCGATGATTTTTTGGCATTTACCAGGTTCATCCCTAGTATTAGTAGGAAATAGCTATCAGGGGCTTTCTTGCCTTCGGGACATTGAGAGCTCACACATGACCAGTTCTAGACCCATTCAAGATATATTGCAGCTCTCTTTTGTTCCGCTTCCTCTCCAAATCTTTCTCTGGTCCTTTCATTGTTTGAGATGCACCCTCACCACCACCTTTCCAGTAAAC